GCTCTTCCGTATCACATCCCAAGAAGGGGAGATACGTAAAACGTTTAAGTTCCTACTAAATTAGGCCAAACAGTCGTTAAAGGAGTCATTGGTACCTACGATCTTTCTGCGCCCTTTTCAGTTGCTTCGTTACTTGGTGAAGTACCAAGATCCGCTGATCCGAAAAAGGACGCGCAATACCTGTATTTTCTTGGAGAATGGGCGATCGTTCGCAGCCGTTCTACGATCGGCAGAAACGGCATTGTTACAATCGAGTTTCGGTTTGGTCGGATTCACGCCGGAATTGTATTCGACGCTTTCGCTCGTTGACGCAATTCTCGATATTATCATTGCGATTTGCTAAACTCTATCCGTGCGAACCATTGCAAAGTATCGCTAAGCAAAAATTATAGAACGATGAGATTACTTGCGCTAAAATTTTTTTTCTTTTTTACAATGTAAATAATATGAAATTGATTGTCTCTGTTTATATAAGCCCCTCTTAAGCGAATCTCAAATCAAAGTATATATGCTGCAAACTGAAAAAGATTGTGGAGTGAATGTTTTGCTCTGATTCACAGCGATTTGGACGTGAGCCATTTCACTAGGATGTCTCTTATGGAATAACAATTTCGGTATCAGCCTTGTTAGAGACGAGAAGCTCGCGCTAAAGTTCGGTTTTACTTCGTCAAAGTAGGTCGAACGCCTCGCAGTATTCACATATACTTAGAAGAAACACTGGAAAGTGATAGTCTTCTTATACTCCGCGTTTGTACTAAAATTATTTCAAACGACTCTTTTCCTTTCTCGTTAAAAGAAGAAGTACTATCGTAAAATATCGTACATTATCGTAATCCAGTGTGACAATAAATGAATATGTAGAATTGAAGATGCAATCGGATTAAAGTTAAAATCTTTTATGCTCCGGAAAGGGTACAGCTCTGGCACGTAAGAGCAACTGCTTCATGACAATCAGGGAAGTTAATAGAGTAAGTTAAAGTGAGTAGAAGTGAGTTGGGAGTGAGCGAGTTTTTAGACACGTCCGAACAGAGTGATGTATGTATTCAACGATGCAAAAAGCGTAACGGGCGGGAAGTTCCGAAACTATTTGAGATATCGAAAAACCATTTCCGACGTTCACGTGTATAAAAATTTACAAAGTTGTGCATGTGTCGGAGGTACGTGTATCTAGATTGACTAACCAATTGAACCGAGCAAAACGATTTATATGCCAGGAATTCAGGCATCGCTTCTAGTTATGTTGCAATTGAAGATAATTATTACTTTCTCTATCACGTTTTCTAAAAAGAAATGAGAAACACATACATAATTTCTATAAAAATTTAAATATATTATATATAATGTATTAAATTGTGTATTTTTTATTCATTAAATCCGTAATGGCAGCTAATTAAATCTTTTAAAATATTTAATGTATTAATATAATAGATTCAAAATTCAATAATAATAGCAATAGGCTCAGAATATTAGCAATTAAGTGGGAAAACTAGCAGATAAGATGGATACATCATTATATCATAAACCACTGACGGATATAAGTGTGGCGATGGCGTTTGGACGTTGTCTACTAATTTGTACAGACTCTACGCGGATTTTAATGAGACTTCCTTTCTAATTATTAATTTTAATTTGAAATTTGACAAGAATGTAATAGTAGAAATATTCTCAATCTTTCTGCAATGATATTACATTCCAAAACGTAATGGATTTAATTCATCGCGTATAAAAGAAAAGCTCTTTAAATCGCTTTGTTCTCGGTATTCTGTTCAATACTGTGAATTTTAATTTGCTAATTGCGTTTCTTTCTTTTAATTAATTACTCTCTGTATCTTAATTCTTTTATTGTCAGAATAGTTTAAGAAGAAAGAAATGAAGAAGAGAACAACGATATATTTGTATTAACAAACATGTTTATACAGGCTGAAATCTGCAGCTCTTTTTGAAAGTCGACATGTAAAAGTACTACGATATAAGTAAAAAAACTCGTTTGAGGCGATCACTTTTATTGATCGCAAATCACCTCCCATACCTCATTCATAATTATTACATCTGTTGCGAGTGAAGCACCAATGCCTTAACAAACTTGGCGCGCAGTTCTGCCTGACATTACTTCTAATTACCTTATCAAATTAATTATCCTTCCTTTATTCCATCTCGTAGCAACAGCTGCAGTTCAAGCGGCAGAAACATGGCTTGTTCGCTCGCGGCGCGGATCAAATTTTGACCAATTACTTCCGCCAACGTCGCTTTTATCGTTTACGACCGACACTAATGAACGCAAACTTGGAGGCGCCTGTTATTCAACATAAACTTTGGTCTTCGTTAACCAAATTCAGTCCACATTCGTATAATAAACGCGAAACATATATTGTCCCTGCTCCTGCGTGCAGTTCATCAAATTTCTTTTCTACCATCCGTTCTATCGTGAATTTAATCTCGACATCTCAATTTAGAATGTTAAAAATAAAATTGGGGAAGATGAAAAAAATCTCGTTAAAGAAAAGCGCACCTAATCTGCGTAATATTACGAATCCGATAATGATCTTGCAAGCCAAACATTTCATCCGCTCGTTCCGTTTCGATTGAACGAGACGTTTCTATTCTGATCCCCTCGACCGTCTCGAGCGGGCTACAATCTTCTGCAGACAGGCCGAAAGATTTTCTCGAGAGTCTCTCTCTCTCTCTCTCTCTCTCTCTCTTGTCGATGTATTTTCTTGCCTCCTTTTTTTGCCTCCGAAGTCGGAATGCAAAGGATACAGAAATGAAGAGGGTACTTCCGTCCACAATTCGAAGACCTCATCGCCTTCCGCCTCTTCCTCAAACCAATTGTTCCATCTTTGTCTCGTCATGGCTGTCGCGCTCCTTTGTTCATTCGAGTTTCTCGTTGCTCTCGTCTCAGCCGAAACGAAGAGAAAAGGAATTCTCGGAGTAAGTCCTCGCGGACGCTCACCCTTGTCAGATATTACTTTTATTCTGTTTTGAGCCTCGTCGCTGCCCGGACGGGCAGCTCCTGTTCGAGCATCCTTTCATCTTTGAGTCGTTTTGTATCATCGCGATTGTATCGCTCGCGTGTACGTGATCAGAATTGGTCCGAATCTCTACGGTACCGCGATACCGTCATACTCTACTGTAGAGTGCAATTTCCCGAACAAGAACGAGTCGTATACCTCTCCTTGTGTCATCAGCACAAAGTAATGCCGGAATTAGGATGAACTTAACGTAACGGGACGTGAAGTAACGTGACGTGAACTTAACGTTTAACGTTTCTTGTGAAATTACGATCGCCGTAACGTGCCATAAGCAGTGTGCATTGAACGCTTGAAAAGCGCAAGCGTTGTTTTTGTTGTCGTTCTCGTTGGTAGTTTTTGGTAGTTCCAAATGAATTCTGCTGTGAAATAATCGTATTCCGAACGCGCAACACAATGTCAAATGCTACACTTGAATTCGAGTGCAGTGCGTGCAAGAATCGAGAGCGTCGATTGGCTGAAAGAGTCACGTGAACAGCCCGACTTGACGGAACGCGACGTCAAAGCTTGACATTGGCAAGCTTTCACGTCGCGTTAAGTTTCGATACTTGACGTCCCGTTACGTCAAATTCATCGTAATCCCGGCATTAGTCACTGGTATGAATTGGAAAACAAAGTACGTTTCACGCATTGATTCTCAATCTCAAAAATTCAAAATCGAAAAATATATCTGTTACTGTCTCATAATTGTTTATATATTTATATATACACAAACATATCGCAAATATATTTAAACTAAAATAAATTAAAATAAATATTCTTGATGCTGACAAAAAATTGTATACAACTTCAAAATGCTCTCAGTGTTCTAAATCGAAACAGGAGGAAGAGAAATTCGAAGTTTTTTATCAATTATCCTAATAATTTTCGCGTGCGATATCGCGTCAGTAAAAATTATTTCAAAAATCGAAACACTTTCTCTGGTAGCTTATGCAAATGCAATTCTATTTTTTCAGCGTTAAACGTTTCTGGAATCACTTTGCACATCTGGCTCCGAATTTATTCAACAGAAGGAGGCAGGCTTTATGATAAAACTAATTTTCATTGTGCGACCAGTTGCGATATATTCATTCATTTTCGAATGTAAATTGTTTCGATACTTGACGTCCCGTTACGTCAAATTCATCGTAATCCCGGCATTAGTCACTGGTATGAATTGGAAAACAAAGTACGTTTCACGCATTGATTCTCAATCTCAAAAATTCAAAATCGAAAAATATATCTGTTACTGTCTCATAATTGTTTATATATTTATATATACACGAACATATCGCAAATATATTTAAACTAAAATAAATTA